AGAGATGCCATGTGGTTGTAATAGTCTGTTGGTAGTTTCGGAGACGTTTCTGATGTATGGCAGTGTTATCTTTTTCATAGTTTGTGTTGGTTGTGTTGTAGTAGATTGAGTGGCCATATTCACTTCTATTGGTAACTGTAGTTTGTTTGAATATTTGAATAACTCAGAGAATAAATGTGTTTATTTTTCTAACGTTAATTTGAAACCATGATTTATAATTTATAAATCCTTGCTTATTTATTGGTTAAATCAGAATACCAGCTTATTTCCTGATTTCTTTTTGTGAGATAACCTGTCTCTTTTCAATGTACAGTACATGGTAAGAGCAGTTATACACACAAAAATACTTCTCACTCAAATCTCTACAAATGAAGCAAAAACCACATTCTACAATAAACTAAACTGCTTCTCTAAACATTTGACCAAAGTTAGGTTCTACTGCTACTTGAATATTGGGCATACCATTTGGATACCGGCAGAACAAATAAAGACACAGTGATTCCCACCTATTAACCTTGACTCCTGGTGATTACATGTACATACACATGTAGTTCTCCTGACAACAATAAAGTGAAGTATCTTTGAGTTTTCTGGGAAATTTTTTCAACCAGTCTAGCCTTTAGCACAGGAATTTGCTCTGATTTCCCATGCAAGTACAAAAGAAGTCCTATCCTGCTGAAGGTTTTGTCCAAGATCAACCAACTTGGCTAGATATTGCCACCTACTGTTCTTAAATCAGGCATTTCCAGATAAGACATATTCCTACAATACTGATTAAGGCTGGTTTAGACATCATTTTTGAATCTGGCTTAGCATAATGCTATGCCATTATGTCTTATAGTTATATAAGATAGAGGCCACTGCAGTTTGTTCAATAATCATGATTAAAAAATCCATTCTGATTTATCATTATGAGCAAACACACCTAATGAGTGGTAGAATCAGACATAAAGAAAAATTCCCTGTGATTTCATACACAATTAAATACCTCTCATGATACTGGTTTTTATAGCCTTCAAAAATGACTAAGGGTGTTTACTAGAATTAAAAAGGAAGCAAAAAATAATTTTATTTTAGCAAAATATTAGAAATAGAAAGATCTGATGGCAGAGACCTTGAAAGAAGAGCAAAATCCTACTAAGTAACATGCTTTCATAACTGATTTTTAGACTTCATGATCAGTGTTATAATTTTTAAAAATACACTGAGTAAAAGATAACGTATAGCCTTCTGTAGTTGGACTCCTCATTTTGGTAAGTAAAATATCTTACAGATATTTTGCCTTCTTTCTCTGATATCAAACTGAATATAATAGGGAAATGCACTTTCATTTGAATTAATACATTTCTGGTTCACATACTGTGAAATCAAGAGAATAAAATTGAAGTTACAAGTATTAATCAAAGCTGTGTCCAACAGCTTCTCAAAATGACTCAGCAAATATATTTTATATTTTGTTCATTCCTAGTGCCAAGTGATCTTCATATTTTAGGGCAGAAATATTTTTTTCTCAGGTTAGGTAATGATTTTTATATTTATACCTCTTCTTTACAGTAAATGGCTTGAATACATGAATTATCTGGACCCATGCTCATCAAGTGTTTTTTGAAATGTACCCATTCTCTAGCTGTAACAACCTGGAAACAATAATGGATGTTGTATAGATGGTGTATATATGGATGTTGTATAGATAATATGGCCTTTAGGCAGGAAAATGGATTGGAAGATTTTGATGTCTTCCAGCCGTTCCGTATTATAGCTGTTAAATAATTTATTGAATCAATCTTGACATGCTAGACAAAAAATTAAAGCTCCATAAAGAATTGCTATCATTGTATTCAGAATGTTTTATATAATGGTGCTATTATTTCTATACTTATTTATATATTATTTCCTTTCTATTATGTACAGTGGACCTGCTTGCACTCTTGAAATGGAAAGTGTATCCAGATCGTGTAATGGATATTTTAGGAAGATTGCGGCAAGTCAGCGGTGAAGAAATTGTTAAGGTCTAAGCTATTATTAACAAATTAATTACAGTAATTCACCATTTTTAGGAAGGAAACCAAAAAGATTGCTCCCATTATTTGTCTTTATCGGTAGATAAAATCTCAATATGATTACCTTAATCACAAATTTAAGAAGTGATATGTCAACTTCTCATCATTAGCTTGTGAACTAAAATCCTATGGGGGATGCTGAATTATTTCAAATCTGCATTTCCTGCCCCATTTTTTAAAAATATCATCTAGTATGCAAAATATGTGATACAGTACTGCTAAGGCTAGCAGATAGTGCCAAATCTGCTTCAAGGACAGATCCTCAGCTTGACCCCATGTTGCCTCTGTGAGGTGGGATTGCTTGTCCTGAATTGTGGAGTGATACTTCGGAAGCATTTAACAATGACTTTCCATTGCCTAGCATGCAAAGTACTTACATAAATAGCAATGGTAGGAAAGTTGTATGAAAATCAGAATATTGTAAAGGGAGTGTGCCAAATTTCATAAAGATTAGTTCAGGGGCTTTTGTGTGATATGAGAAGGAGAGAGCAGGAGTGACATTTTCATGGAAGATGGTGGATCCCATAGTGTAGAATATATGTAGAAAATTTCAAGCACATAGATTAAGAAAGTTTTGTACAAAGAGAGTCAGTGATAGAAAGGGATAATGATGTCCTTTCAAGAATGGATTGGAGCTGATTGTCAAAGATAGAGGGCAGCAAGACATATAGGAAATTAACTCACTCATGTGTTCCATTAAAAAGTAATGTCCAAGCCAATTAAAGACTCCTACAACCTCTAAGGATAGCAGATGGAAAACAAATGATGAATGGTTAAATGGTTTCTCTCTCAAGCTGACTTACCCTTTTCCTAAAACACTGATTGAACAGCCAGTAGTAGTCTGATTGCAACGATCACTCTGATTAGAAGGTAGATGTATCAGTTACTGAATCCATTTCTCCTTCTCCCCCAAACTCTGTGAAATAACTTTAGAATGATAGGAAATCCCAACAGGCATTTAAAAAAATCTTTTTACCATTTTCAAATGACTTCCTCTTCATGTAACATGCTGAGCTTCTAAACTATGCACTGCAGTTGAAGCTTCATGGAGATTTTGATTTAGAAATAAGGCAAGTTAGAGACGCACATTTGATCTCAAGTCAGTTTAAAAACAACTTGAATCTCCCTATCCATTCACATTCAAGGTTCATGCTGAAGCAGTGCAACACCTGATTTTCTAAATAACACTTAATGGACTTCTTATATCAACATAGAGAAACTCAGAAGATAAAACAGGTAGTCCTCGGTTAATGACTGCCTCGTTCAGTGACCATTCAAATTTACAACTGCACTGAAAAAGTAGATTTACGATTGGTACTCAAACTTACAGCTATCGTAGCATTCCCCACAGTCGTGTGATCACAATTTGGGCCCTTCACAGCTGGCACACATTTACAACAGTCATAGCATCCCATAGTCACATGATTGCCATTTCCAACCTTCACAGTTGGCTTCCAACAAGCAAAGTCAGTGGGAAAGCTGACAGTAAGTCGCAAGTTGCGGTCACGTGATATCATACTTAACGACTGTGAGTGATTCGCTTAACAACTGCAGCGGAACTGATGTTGTAAGTCAGTGCAGTCATATGATGCTTCACTTACAACTGCCAATTGTGGTCATTAAGTGAGGATTATCTGTACATGTTTCCCTTCCTATTATGTGATTGATCATTTTCATTCAAGAATTGGCTTTATGCCAAAAAAGATTCACTGTTCTGTAATTTGTGCCAGTATAGTCAATTTGCATTGAAGATCTGGAAACTTCCCTCCAAAGCCACTTAAATATTTTCTTGTCAGAAGCCCTGTCTGGCCTCACTCACATCTTTACCATCGTGCTGTGTGCTTATTCTAGTTGTGGGTCCTATCTAGTTGTGGATCCTTATTAATTTGAAAAATATGTAAAAATGTCTATATGGCTGTGCATATTATATAAAACAATTAAAATTGTTTAATTTAAAATTTATGCATTCATAGAATATTTATTTATTGAATCATGTAAAAATAACATTAAACCCATTAGATATTAACATAAATAAATTTTTCATGAAAAAACTCTGTTTTTTAACAAAATAAAAATGAGAAGAATGTCACTGTTTTAAATTTTTGCAAATATTTTTAATATTTGGCAAATAATTTTGATTTTGTGGATCCTTGAGAGGGTCTTGGAGGACCCCCAGGGATCCTTGGGCCACACTCTAAGAAACGTTGGGTTAGAGGAATATACATGATGGTTTCTACTTTCAATCTAAATCATTAAGTTGTTTGAAATCTGGCTTTCAAGTGAAAAAGCTTCAACAAAACATGTGGTTTGGCTAAATCTTTGCAACTTCAGTGCTACAAAGATATTAAAAAATGTTTTGAAAAAGGAGGAAGCATGGAACTTGGCAGGTACCATGCTGGGGACCCAGGTTATACTCAACGTTCATAAAACAAATTGAGGACTAGGAGAATTTAACATTTACTCAGAATATCTGGTTTTGATTTTCTATAGAATATTATACTTTAGAATTGAAAGAGAATATTCAATGTACTTCTCACATATAATATCAGAAAATTATGAAATTATTTGGCTTGGTGGAACATTCTGTAAGGAGATACTAAATAAATCCCTGTGCCTTTCCAGTTCTTGCAGGATATTCTAGATACATTGTTTGTGATTTTGGATGACAACACAGAAAAATATGGACTTCTGGTCTTTCAATCTTTGGTAAGTGCAGTATATTTCTGACAGATCAATATTTTGAGGCAAAATGTGGGGGCACTTTCCCCTCAATACTTTACTGAAAATTAGGATACTATTTCCCTTCTCATTAGTTACTGAAACTTTCCCAAATCCTCCTTAATCACTTGTGGATCCACAACTTTTGGATACATTTTGCTGTTTTTTTTTTGATCCTTGTTTCCAAAGATTCATATTAATGGCAGTTATTTAATTTCTGTGACCTTCTGTGTATGCTAAATGTTATCATCTCTTAACTTTGAAATGCTGGATCATTGCAACATGTTTGAAAGAGTGTTCAACTACCACTGGAAATGTTAGAATATTTGCAACAAAATTATTTTGCCCTTCTAAGAAATATTCAGCATTCTGATGACTTTCTGTGAATTAAACTTAACTGATTTTGGCCACGTGGTGGTGAAATTTATGCACCAACTACAGCCATCCTAAAGGGGACGTGGTGGCGCAGCGGCTTAATGACGCTGAAAGTTGCCGGCCAGAAATGGTC